CCGCGGGACGCGCCCCAGGCCCGTGCGTCCGTGGGAGTGGCCCCGGAGCCGCGAGCAGGGCCCTTTCCCAGTGGCAGTGGCCGTTTATAGCCTGTGTGGACTCTGCAGACACTACCCTATTTGACCATCGCCACAGCTCCCAGAAGTGGGCATTTTTCTCCTAGTTTTTCTACTGAAGCCAAGTGAGGGTCCAGGACTGAGCAGCTTTCCCCAAGTCCCCCAGCTGAGGAACGCTCAGACCCAGCCTGCCAAGGTCTCTGCTCCTGGCCCCTGGGGCGGCACCTGCTGTCCCTTTTTGGGGACCTCCCTCCCCCTGGCTGGCCTGCCGGGAGCACTGCTCCTCCTTCCCACCCCGCCGGTGTCCCCACGCTGGGAGGCGCTCTGCTGCCCGGGTAGGTGGCGCAGCCTGGTGGTTAAGTTTGCGCAAGCAGCCTTGCCCATGTCTAGGGCCCGTTCTTGTCTCTGCCGGAGAGCCCAGCATGGGTCCACACACGGCACAAGGCCTGACAGAGGACCCCACTGTGATGGTGGCTTCCCGTCGTCTAAAATGCAAAATATTTCCTGCGCAGAAACCGCTCAACAACAGACAGCTGTTCCTTGTACAGGCCAGAGCCAGCACCGTCACCTGCTCCTCGTGGGGCAGCCGTGTGGGGCCTGAGCCGCCTGCAGCCTCTGAGGCCTTGCTGACCAGCCCTGTGAGGCCGGCTGCCAGGGGGACCTGTTTGAGAACCACTGCCCCGAGCACAGGCCTGAGCCCTACGCCCATGGGTCAGAGCACAGCAGAGGAGCTGAGGCCAGTGAAAGCAGTGAAGGGCTCTGGTGGCAGGAGGAAGCACCTGCTCTAACTGCACCCTCACATCCGCCTGGTGTAGTATGATCATCCCATTTCACATGTGAGAAAACTGAGCCTCAAAGAACTAGAGTGCCTTGTCTTAGCCACCCAACTTACAGATGGTGGAGCTGCGATGTGAGCCCAACGTCCGAGCTCCTTCTCCAACATCTAGTGCCCCTAAGAGGGCAAGGGAGCTGCGCACAGCAGACTCGGGTAAACCAGCACTGCGGGCGCTGTCAGGCCCTTGCCGTCTGCCGCGGAGGGAAACAGCGCCCCCTGGTGGCAGCAAGGTACCGCACCGAGCACAACTGGAGCCCAGGAAGCTCCCAAGGAGAGGAAAGCCCACAAGCAAGAAGCTGGGAGCTGCACTTCCCCACTCACAGGATTGGGGCCAGGACCCCAGTCTGGAAGGCCCTGCCAGCTGGCCAGGCTGCATTCTGCTGTCTCTGGGAAAGGGGCTCAGTAAGGTTTTCTCTGCACTGTAGAAGTGGAGCTTTGTCTGACCTAGACTGACCCTCAACAGCTTAGTGACATCACCTCACTTCTCGCCCCTTTGAGAAGGTTCCACTTGAATCATCTTGGAGTCAAATGGGAGCAGGAGTCCCTCAGGCACCTTCGGCCTCCGCAGCTCACAGTGTGACCTCTCAAGGTGGGTATTCTCCTTGGCCTGATGAGAAAGCTGAGGGTCAGGAAAGGGGATGAGCTCCAACCAGCCCCTTTGCTGGTAATTACTGTTATTTTCACCACCTTGAGAGCCAGTGGGGTGAGCAGTCACATGCTGGGCTTGGAAGCCAACTCACCAAGCCTCATATTCTCTTCTTTAAAATGGA